ATATATATATGTTGCCAACGAAACTCATACGAGCATATTTACATAAATAAATAAAATTAAAATCCTTGCCATAAAATAACATGTTTGAGAATTTCAGTATTTCAGTAGTGTTGAATAAATAATAATGAAGTTTTGCAAAAATTTACACATGTTATAAGCAGATGGACTTACCCTCTGCCCAGGAAACGCATTTTCAGGGTTGGTCGTTATGCCGATTCTTGCCAGTCCATGAGCAGCAAACTTCTTTCCCTCCGATGTGTTATCTTTTGTTAGTGGCAGTAATGCCTGAAACATTCGTCCAAATTTACTTAAAAATACACTGCACTAAGCAATGAACTAGAAAGCCACGATTACAAGCTCTCTCGTTTGCAATAAGTGAACCAACATTTAAGGGTTGGTTAGAGTAACAAGCAAACTTTATATGAATAAACGTTGCACATGATTACAATTCACAAAAAATTATATTTAACTGCTGTTTTTTTACTAAAGGCCCAGTCACACATACACGACGCACGGCCCGGCCCGCGCACTGAAAAATTAGCAATTTTGGCCAGTGCGTTGTCGTTCGCTGGGTGTGCGTCAGCATTCGTTACTCGTTCGTCGAGCGCGCTGGACCAACGCTATGCATTCGTTGTCATTCGCTCGTGCGCGTCGTGTGCGTCGGGATTTTTGTGCATGCACAAAATTGTGCGCGGAGCTCGACGCATGAATGTACACGCCAGAAGGACGCCAGACACGCGCAGAGCACGCTGGACCAACGCCAGACCCACGCGGAGCACACGATGGGTATTCGTTGTATGTTCGTCGGCTGAGGTCTAGCAAACATTTAGCGCACACCTATAGCGCACACCTAGCATGCTTCTAACGCATGTCCAGCGAACATGCAGCGAATATGGGCGTGCTGAACGAGTGCTGAACGAGTCTGTAGCGCGCCCAGCGTTCTTCTAGCGTGTTCCTAGCGTGTACGGTATATAAACGGGTCCCGCCCCACCTCCTCATCATCACTTCTCCTCCGACCCTCATGGGTGATGACAGAGATTCCTGCTGATCGTGTCTAGAAGAACCACCTCAGAAGATGGAGGATCCCGACAGGCTGCGACTACAATACGAAATCGCGGTTCTCCAACATTAGCAGAACCTCATGGAACTGGCACTTCACCAAGTCCATGTCATCAGGAGAAGGAGAAAGAGAAGAGGTCAACGGAGGTTCTGGGTCCGACCGTGGATCGGTAGGCGACGACAGTTTGGCCTCTATGACCAGCTAC